CGTTGCCAGCGAGACGTTGGTGGGCACGACGAGCTTTTCGTGCAGCGATGCGGGCATGAACCACACGGTGACGTATGTTGCCGTGGACGTTTCGGGCAACACGCGTGAGGTAGATGTTGTTGTCGAGGTGCGGGACAGCGTCTTGCCAACGGCGGTTGCCCAGGACTACACTGTTGTGTTGGACGGCACGGGCAACGGCGTGTTGGCGGCGTTGAGCGTGGACTTTGGCAGCAGCGATGCGTGCGGCGTGGCTTCGATGTCGGTGACGCCATCGACGTTTACGTGCAGCGACCTGGGTTCGCAGACCGTGACGCTGACTGTGACGGACAACAATGGCAACTCTGCGACGGCCACGTCGACTGTGAGTGTTGTGGACCAGACGGCACCGACGGTGGTGGTGCAGGATGTTGAGGTTGAGCTCGACGTGAACGGCGATGCGAGCGTGACTGTTGCGGAGATTGACAACGGTAGCTCGGATGCGTGCACTGCCAGCGGTTCTTTGGTGACGAGCCTGGATGTGGCCGCTTTTGACTGCGACGATGTGGGCAGCGGCGTGGCTGTGACTTTGACGGTTACGGACGAGGCGGGCAACGTGGCGTCTGAGACGGCGACGGTGACTGTTGTGGATCGTGTCTTGCCGACTGTTGTGGGCCAGAATGTGACGCTGACGTTGAGTGCAGGCGGGGCCGTGGGTCTTGTTGCTGGGTCTGTGGATGCTGGCAGCTCGGATGCGTGCGGTGTGGCGACGGTGTCGATTGACGTGGATAGCTTCTCGTGCGCCTCTGTGGATGCGAGCCCCAACGCGGTCGAGCTGAGTGTGGTGGACAACCATGGCAATATGGCGACTGACACGTACTACGTGACGGTTGTTGATGAGACTGCCCCTGCGTTTATTATCACTCCAACCACTCTTGAATTGGACGCGGCCGGGTCATATTCTTTCACGCACACTGATCACACTTCTGTTCCTACCGATGCTTGCGGTGTTTCTTCGGTTGTGTCCAACACCTCCACCCTCTCTTGCTCCGACATCGGTACCATTCATATTTCCGTGTCTGCGTCTGATATTCACGGGAACACTGCTTCGAAATCTGCTGCCTTCTCTGTTGTTGACAATCTGGACCCTATTGTTTCGTTGACCCCCTTCACCCTTCAACTCAACGCTGCCGGTACTGGTACACTGTCCTTGTCTGACATTGACAGCGGATCATCTGACAATTGTGCCATTTCGACTTCAGTGTTGGACCAAACCTCCTTTTCTTGCACGAGCGTTGGCGCTCAGACTGTTCAGGCTACATTGTCGGACGCTTCAGGAAATTCTGCTTCTGACGTTGTCACTGTCACTATTGTTGATTCGATTGCACCCTCAGTGAATGGCCACGCCAGCCTCACTCCAGATCTGGACGCATCAGGTGCCTTCACTTTGACTTGGGCTTCCGTGGATATTGCTTCATCAGATGCCTGTGGCATCAATGTTGCTTCCTTCAGTCCTTCGCAAACTTCCTTTGACTGTGCTGATTTGGACAGTGTTGTGGCCGTGTCTTACACGATCACTGATGTCAATGGCAACCAAGCTTCATCAAGCGTTGATGTGGCCGTGGTTGACAGCGTTCCTCCGGTGCTTTCCATTGCAAACGCGGACTTGCCTTTAGACCAGACAGGCTCTGCGACACTCACGTCCGCAGTCATCGATGCGGGTACTGAGGATGCTTGTACCCCTGTGACATTCGACTTTTCACGCGTGGAATTTAACTGCTCTGACTTGTCCACTGGAACTTTTGCTATTGATGTCAGTGCACGCGATGCGTATGGCAACTCTGTCGAT